AACTAATCAATACTTTATCAATCGTTATACTCGTATATATTTTATATCACCAACCAGCAATGCTTATGCTGCGAAACAAATACAATCGCTTATCAAATTGTTTTGATAATAAAAAATTAAATATACAAATTTGATTGCATTTTTCTTTCTTGTCAACAATGTTTCAATACAATTCCTTTTCTTTTTATTCAGCGGATTTCTATGGTACCTTATCACCAGTTATAAGAACTTCTTAAGCCCAATAATATTTGAGTGATTTAAAAAAATATATTTGCATATTTTTATATATATGACTGTTATATATTATTTATATAAAAATGTATAAAATGTTTGAACATGTGCACTCTTCTATTATTGTCTATTGAACAGTAATTATTCAAAAGCAGTGTGATTCCCCAGTTACATTATTTTTATCTATTACACCCCAAAATGATTCAACTGATTGATAACCTTGATAAAAGTACTTAAAGTGAATAATATAAATTAAATTTATTTTTTGAATTTTTTTAATATACTTAAAATGCATTTGAGAAATTGTTGGTTATTGTATGGAATTGTGTTCCTTTCCGTACTTATATCTTTTATTGCTGCAGCTATCAAATAAGCTTTAAAATTATAGAATACTTATTTTATTTGATTTGATGACTGCTCAAAAAATATTAAATTTATATCTAAATATACAAATACTTACGGATAGAAAACTATCCGTAAATATTTGTATATTTCTAAAAAAAAAAATCAAAAAAAAAAACAATTTAATTGCTTGATAAAGTCTATTAAATATAAAATATAAATACAATAATGTAATTTCTTCAAACTAAAAAATAAAAGAGGTATTGACTCTCGCAGGGAGATATTTTTGTGTAATTTCTATAAAAATATTTTTCTCATTATTAGCGTTTTAGCGTTGGCGTACCAAAAACATTTTTTCAAATCTCATCGCAGCTTCTCAAATTGTTTCACAGTCATTCACGCCATATCTCCTTAATTCACTTTTCACCCGCATTAAGCAGGTAAAAGCAGAGATGTCCAACCTTTCTTATTGGATTTCGGAAAAACAATTTTCGTGTAATTAATTGAGTTGTGTATTGTACCATAAGATCATTTTAGGGTGATAATAATTTTGTGAGGAAAATCGACTCAAAAACGATATAAAGAACTATAGGTTTTCATTTTATATATAATTTGTGGTATATTTTAAATATGTTAAAGCGACTAGCAAAGTTATTGTATATTAGAAATATTTGTAACAAAATTCGGAAACTATCGCATTTTAAAAATTTGTACCATGTTTCCACTGCGTACTTAGTAAATAACTTAAGTAGTTTTAAAATAAGTTTCGCATTGCATATGAAAAACTTTTTACGTGTCAAAAAGTCCTCTGAAAGTTCTAAGAGACTTTCTGTTTGTTTAAATAAACTTCACTTAATAATATATTACACAAAAATAAATATATAATTGATATTATAAATCATTTATATATATATATTTTATATATTATATAAGCGCTTTCTTAGTGCGTTTGTTTGCAGTTCAGTAGTTGTTTTATTTACATTTTACATATAAAACATATGACAAATATTTTAAATATTGGTAATTTCCCACTTGTGGGAAATTTATTTTTAAGGGTTGCATTTGAGTTAAAAAGCACGGAGGCTGTTTCTATGGTTAACGAAATTTTCTTAGTAAGTATAACTTACTAAGTTATACTTACTAAGTAACCAGTGGAAACATACTATAAATGAAGATAAATTTAGAAATCTTAAGAGCCAGAAATAAAAACACAATAGTTTTCCCCAGACATTTGTAAAATGTGATATGTGCTTTTTTCTTTTCGAATATGATTTTTTGTGAGGAAAGTTATTGTAAATACGATATCTTGGTAATTATTTAATATCTTTTTAATTCCACTTAAGGCGACTTAGGCCTTATAATAGTAGAGGTTACAGGACTTGGCTTATCACACCTAATAACGCTCAGTTTTTATTCGGCCGGGTAATGGTATGGACTGATGCGATTCAATGATGTGTTATTGTCGGCACTTCAGAAAAATTTACGTTTATAATAATTTTAACCAATATGTAATTAACTTAATTTATTAATTTAAAACCTAGAATTATTTTAAAACCATTAGTGTTTGTTGTGAATCATTTCGTAGTTATACTTGACTTCGTATTTATTCATTTATTGTTTATAAATGTTGTCTATAGAAATCTTAAACTTATTGAATAGTATTAATTAGAGGTATTCGACGGCATTTGATATAAATTATGAGATTACATTATATATATAACATTATATATAGTTTTTAAAATAATAGAAATTTTTTCTACTATGAAAATAAATCTCGAGGAATTTAAAAGAAATGCTTATTGAATCTATTATCTGAATAGGAATTATTACTACAATAGTTCCAGTTTTGTTGCAGTTACAAATCATCATATTACTTTTATCAGTTCCTATGATATCATAAGCTCTTCCTCAAAAAAATTTGACTGCTTTATATCTATATTACATATTTCCTTGGCTTCGAATGTGCAGTCACGGTAAAATATATTCCGACCTAATAACTTAATAACTGCTTCATTATAGCGCCACCATTTAATGCAGAACTGCCGGTAAAGCACCTCGCGTGTCTGGAAACAACCAATTATTGATGTTATACATTTATCACTCGAGGGGGTTTTCTGATAAATAGCTAGCCTTTCTGTAGCCAACTTTTGTTTGATTATTTTTAAATGGAATTTAACTTACTTATTTAGTATTTGTATCAGCGAAGTAAATATTTACGCATTTGCTAAATTTTCAATATTTTGTTTATTTTGTATGCCTTGATAAATATCGAAGAAATATTTTCTCTAGTATAAAAATATAAAGTAGCTTTTCGAATAAATATTACGACCTGTGTGCTGATAAAGATAATTTATGTGATTTTAGTATAATAAAATGTTTAAAATCAGTTTTTTTTTTAAAGTTAAACTTTGAAATTACTAGTAAATCTATATAACAAGATTAACATTCTCAGAAGTCAGTCATGCAATTAGTTTAATATGAATTATAAATGCAGTGCTATAATTTATAATTATTCTTGTAGGTGGTATATGCGGGACTTTAATATATGAATTACTCATAGCCAGTTTTTTTTATGTACGGGTACTTTTTAGCCCTACATTGACTCCCCCAGTTTGACTTTCTTAATTATTTTGAGTGTTACATTGCACATGAATTAATTCCATAAGTCACGCTATCTAACAGGTGTTGCTGGTGTTCTATTAAATAAAATTCTTATAATTAGTGATTTAGGCTTTCCTTTGTTAGTCATAGTTGGACCTAATTGTGTCTAATTACTCATAGTTAGGATAAAAAGCTTATTGGTAGGAAAACTGATTATTATGTACAACTTTAAATGCTTATCACTATCATTAAATATAAGTTAAACACACGATGAATTATATATACAGTTTACAAAAATTTTGAGAGAAGTGAAATTAGAGAAATACAATTTTTTTTGCCGCACGTAAGGGATAACTTAATTTCTTAAGTAACAAGGAACTACTGCTACAATATAACTTTAATCCCCAGAGGTTGTATTATTGTAATATTTTTTGTGTACAAATTTCATATTTCGTGGCATATGGTTATGCAAAGTTTCTAGCCTTGGGTCCCTAGTGCAATTTATATATGATCTGATAGTTAATAGTATAAGAGGTACTATTCAAATAAAATTAAACATATGTATAATTCATATAATTCAAGTCGTTTTTTCACAGTATACAAATAATTTTTTATTAAATTAATATCACTTTGAAAGTACAAGTTGTGTATTTTTTGACTACATTGCAATACCTTATTTATTAGAGATTTATTTGTTTATA